CCGGTCAGCAGAGGAAAAAGGATGCCGTGCTAGGAGGAGACTCTATGGTGGGGGAACTGGACTTCCGGTCAGCAGAGGAAAAAGGATGCCGTGCTAGGAGGAGACTCTATGGTGGGGGAACTGGACTTCCGGTCAGCAGAGGAAAAAGGGTGCTGTGCTAGGAGGAGACTCTATGGTGGGGGAACCAGACTTCCAGTCGGCTCCAGAATTTGATGGGGGGCTTCTGGTTAGGACCTTTGTGGCTCTTTGAGTGTTTAAGATTCCTGACCCCTGAATTAGGTTAATTGGAATCATATGATATTGAACTTTTAATAAATTGGCTTATTGAGGTTGCTTTCTCTCTATTGATATGGAGAAAGGGTTAAGATGGTATCCTTTGCTGTGATAGCAAGTTTACAAAGTTGCAGCCATTTCTAAGTTCTTGCTTGCTGTTTGAAGGCTGACCTGCTCTCACCTCCTAATGGCAACTAAAATATTAAAGAAAACAACAACAATCCAAATACTTTGCTAAGGGATAATCCTCACTTGCCAAAAGGAATTATGTGTGAGTTGTGTTTTCCAAATGTACACTTCTCGATGGATTGCCAGCACATTTGTGGAATATTCATCATCCAACGTGGACATCTTATTTTTCACACTGCCAGTTCCATTTCATCATATATACATTATCACTTGTCATTGGCTTAATTGCACAACATGTTTTCCATTCATAGACACACACCATGGTAGATTGAATGTCTAAATTGCTTTTGCATGTCCTATTAGCAAATATTAAACACCAAGAAATGAATGAGCATCCCATCCTCCTTGCTAACCTCCAGACACCCCTTCCTAGTTCTTGTTGAAACACAAAATCAACTTGATCCAACAGAAGAGTCATAATCATTTCTGTGAATGTCTGAATTGATCCCAAAGCATCTTACATGTTCCATCCCGGTCTATTATTTCACAAATTGGAGAACAGTACAATATTATAACCTTTCCAGCTATTCAGCACATCCCTTCAACCACTCCAAAACACACTTTTAGCATTGGGAAGAAGAAGAAAAACCCAAATATTTGTTCTTCCCCTGAATGGGACTCCATTCCCATTATAAATACAGAATGCATTTCATTACAGAGGAATGATTGAGTCTGTCATCTGCACCTCTATAACTGTCTGGTTTGGCTCTGCAACCCAACAAGACAGACACAGATTTCAATGGAGAATTAGAACTGCAGAAAAAACAATGGCTACCAACCTGCCTTCCATTGAGGACCTGTATACTGCACGAGTCAAAAAAAGAGGGCTGTGAAAATATCTACAGACTCCTTGCATCCTGGACATAAATTGTTTCAATTTCTACCCTCAAAACAATTCTATAGGGCATTGCACACCAAAACAACTGGACACAAGGACAGATTTTTCCCTAAATGCCATCACTCTGCTTAACAACTAATTCCCACAACACTGTCAAATAATTTACTAAGACTGTATCACTATTATTCTTCTCTTCCTTACTAGTATCCATCTCTTCCCACTTATGGCTACATCCATGTTCCTTGTATCTTTCAACACGTATTGTTTTCATTTGTTTCCTAGTACGATTTGATAGCTTATTAGTAACCTTGACCTTGATTACTAAGTGTTGTATCTTTTTATTCCTGATGAATGTATTTTTATTCTCCTTATGTACACTGAGAGCATATACACCAAAGACGAATTCCTTGTCTGTCCAATCACACTTGGCCAATAAAGAATTCTATTCTATTCTTATTAGCATTCATCACGCCATCCAATGCACAACATTCTATTTGGAGAAGTATCAGCTCTCAGCAATTAAGACAAACTTTTCATAGTCTGGCCACCTGAGTGTACACAAACACAAACACACACACACACATACAAACACACACCCAACCACCACCATCACCAGGATTCTTCTGTTTTAATTTAAATCTTTAACATTCGACCATGAGATCACAATATGATTTCTGCTCATTAAAGACACGTTTTAAGGCAGTGTTTCTCAACCTTGGTAGCTTGAAGATGGGTGGACTTCAACTCCTAGAATCCCAGCGCTGGCTGGGGGATTCTGGGAGTTGAAGTCCACCCATCTTCAAGCTTCCAAGGTTGAGAAACACAGTTTTAAGGAAAGAGGTTTAGTTCAGATTACATAATTGATGTTCTGGACTCCTCCATTATTAATCAACTTTGGATCTCATCTTTATAGATGATCCCATACGGTGAACTCCATAGGGCTTATAAATATATAGGTCTTGCAGAAACAACTATTTTGAAAGGAAAGAGGCCTAGATTAGCAATGCCTTCCCTCCCAACTTCTTGCTTAGCTTGGCACTGTTAAGAATAATTCTTAGGATGGATCCTTTTCTACTTGTTAAATATCAGGTTCTGAAAGGTGGGAAGAATTTCATATCAGATGCCAAAAATCCAGTGGATTGAGTCAACCCCTAAAAAATAATGCCACCCCATGACCTGAATTTAACAACTATGAGTTATGGGAGTTGAAGGATCTAAGTCTGGTAAATAAATGATCACCGCTAAATAGAAATATTAAACAGCTATGCTATGAAACCAAACTTGGCAGGAGTATCTCAAGAGGAATTCCTTTTTCACATTAACAATGGCTTTTCCCAGAACACTGCATGTTAAATGCATGTACACTATTTCTGTCTTTGTAGCTTTACTGCTGGTTACTTAGTGCAAACCACTTAAAAATGTACTTTCTGACATCACTTAATGTATCCCAATGCTAAGTTTCAGAGGAATAATTAGACTGCCAACGGAAAATTATAATTTGATACTCAAACCATGATTTATCCCCCCCCCACCCTTCCATTTAATCATGTCTGATTCTCAGAGAATGCCCAGACAAATCCTTGCAGTTTTCTGATTTTCAGAAGCGGTTTGTCATTTCCTCTTTCCTAGGGCTCAGAGAAAGTGACTGGCCAGAGGTCAGCAAGCTGGCTTTGTGCGTAAGATGGGACTAGAACTCACAATCTCCCAGTTTCTAGACAGATGCCTTAATCACTGCACCAAACTGCTGTATGAACTTACACGAACATATCGCCTTGGTGTTTCATCTATTATCTTGGTATGTTGGGGCAAAATAGTTAGGACATAGCAATAGCATGTATACTGCTTCATAGTGCTTTAAAGCCCTCTCTAAGCGGTTTACAGAGTCAGCCTCTTGCCCCCAACAATCTGGGTCCTCATTTTACCCACCTCGGAAGGATGGAAGGCTGTCGACCTTGAACTGGTCAGGATCGAACTCGTGGTAGTCAGGAAAATTAGCCTGGAATACTGCATTCTAACCACAGCACCACCACAGCTCTACCTACATACCTAACACCATTCTGACCAAACCAGTAAGGAGTGGTTTAAAAGAGCAAGGAAAAGGCGATTGAGTTAAGTGAGGTAATAGATTTTCTGATGATAACTTGAAGAACCTCAAAGCATACAGTGCACACAAATAGATTTTCATTTACAGGCCATTTACTGTTGTGATGCTTTCTCTGTCTCTGCTCATCTCTCTCTCTCTCTCTCTCTCTCTCTCTCTCTCTCTCTCTCTCTCTGTGTGTGTGTGTGTGTGTGTGTGTGTGTGTCTATCTGTCTCTCTCTCTCCTTCCCTCCCCCTCCCTCTCTCTCCCTCCCTCCGTCTCTCAACACCAAAGTATGGTAAAGGCCCTAGAAAAATTAATGAGACTTAATGGTTTTGGAGATAATTTACCCACTTTCATGATTGCTATGATAGAGAATATCAGAAAATATGACACAATACAAAAGGTTGATATATAGATGAAATTCCAAAGCTGTTCTCCCAACAATTCCCCGCCCCCATGGATTCAGTATGAAGGAACAGTAGGGCGATGGGAAGGGAAGTCCATTGTCACTTTTACTATCTGGATTTTGTCAGCTGGATTTTACCAATTTAACACCAAGCTTGAGTTTTCACCCACATGCAAGTTGAAGGGCTCTTGAGACTTAAGAACTTCTTTTTTTTCCTTAAAGAATATTTGGTCTATTTCCAAAAGATATATAACACAGAAGGGGAAATTTTAGATGTTTAGCCATATAATGTGTATAAAAGTGTAAATGGGACATCATTATACACTTTTCCACACTTTTGTTTATACCATTTCCATCAAGTCTGTCAATATTACTTTGTTTAGATTAGTCCATCTGACATGGAGTAACCCAGAGAGTCACGATAGATCTTTTAGAATGGGAACCAAGAATCAAAAATGCATTGATGTAAAATGGCAAAACAAATCCTTGTCTTTTTCTTACTAAAAAAAAAAAAAGTCAATAGTTTAGTAGTGGCAAAAACTAAAAAGAAAAAGAAAGAAAGAGATAATCAATGGCTTGATATAGTTTGAAATCTGCCAACCATAGGAGAGGACCAGTTGAAATTGAGGGAGGGGTTAAGGTCATCGTCAGCCCGGAGTCCCTTTGCACCCATAATAGATATAAGTCAAGACCTCCTTGAATTCCGTTGACTCTTACTTCTCACCCGTTTGCCTTAATAGTTAGTAGTTTAGATTCTTGTTTAGAGGTAGCATTGAATAAACTTGTACTCATTTGAACAATCCTGGTTTCTGATTTCCAGCTGGCATTAAAATTCTCCTTCCATTTAAGGAAATGGAAGAAATTATACTATGTATTTCATATAGAACAGTGTTTCCCAAACTTGGCTATTTTAAGATGCATGGACTTCAACTCCCAGAATTCCCCAGCCAGTATGCCTGGTTGAGGAATTCTGGGAGTTGAAGTCCATACATCTTCAAAGGGTCAAGTTTGGGAAATACTGATATAGAATACTCCCCCCCCCCGTTTTCTAGGTATTGTACAATTTGATTCCAACTTAAAAGTGAAGAACATTATCTTTCTGCCTTCTTCTCACACATCCATCCATCCATCCATCCATCCATCCATCCATCCATCCAGCTATGACCTAAGCATTCCATTGTGCTTATACAAATGTCATTCAAAGAAAACGTTACTTATATGCTTTTATAAGAATCCAACGGAGAACAACATATAGGAAAGTGTGTGCAAGAGAAAGTGAGCAAAAGTACAATGACTAAAAAAAAAAAAAAACCTGTCATCATGGAGGGCGAAAGGAGGAACACCACCGTGTTGTCCATGAAACCAGGTCAAAAGCTTTTACTATGAGACACTCATACATTTTATAGCCCACAATGCTAAAAGAACCAGAAATGCATTAAGACCATTGTGGGCCCTAAGAACATTTATTTTTGGATTAATAGTCTTCTTAGGGTTATAAAAATATTCCCTAGATCTATAGGCCTCAGAAAGTCACAGAAAATAACATAATAAAAGTAGTAATGGTACCTTAAATATATTTAATCTCAGGGTATAGGCTTTTTGGTTTGTTGGTTTGTTTTTTCTGTTACTTTTTCAGATTTTTGTTTGAGCCTAATATATTTCCAGCGGGCCCCAGACACTCTGCCTATTATGCCTAAGTGATAATAACGACCATTAAGAGAAGTAATATTCTCAAAATATTCAGATAATCTGAGAGTTCATCCATGAGGGTGTTATCCAAATCTGGCTGACGTGCGCCGACGTGAACAAATGAATACGCTGGATAAAAGAACAAGGACTTTCCAGGTGTCAGTTCAAGTGTAATTTTTTTTGTTTTTTTTTTTTGTTATTAAACATGGGTTGCGACAGAAGCTTCTACAAGGACTTGCACACAACCATGACGGATGGATGGATTCGTTCAGTTAGCTCCATCAACTCACTCAAGACACATTTTTGAACAGATTATGTACTGGTAAAACTTGGGAGACCATACATTTAACAAGAGAATTTGCTCTGAGGCTCTGCTTCCCACACTCTGTATGGAAAAAGGGGTGGGGAAAAAAAAAAAAGGAGGAGAGTACAAAACTCATAGAGTTTGACAGCTACGGAGGCAACACTTGCCATTTACATTATAAGCCCAAATATTTTTTTTTTTTGCAACACAACTATATATTAATTTAATAAAATACACAATATAGCTCTTATACACTCAACAATTTGGCTCAAATGCACTGAATCTGCAATAAATCAAGGAAAAAAATATGTCATTTGATGTAAACACATTGAATCTTCTTACATTTGCACATTTAAATGGATTGGGTGAAGGTTTGGAATGCCTGCGATGGTCGTGTCCATAAATGAATTACAAAAGGTGTTAATAATGTTAAGTCGCCTCCGCTATTACTTCCCGTATTTAACGGCAATTAAAGCAGACATTTTGTATTGTGTCTCGGATATAAAACGTAGTTACCTCAACTCTTGCTAGACACGAACTTCTTTCCCTTTCTTTTCCAATCACGTTAATTCACTTATGCATGTGCAGGACAAACATGGATTCGATCCGTTTACATTTAACTTTAATATGACAGGAGCTGTGTTACTAATGACCGGGATAATTTTTGCTGAATGAAGTTATGGAATGGATTTGAAGGGGGTTTCCATATTTTTTTTTTCCTTTTCATTTCTTTCTTTCTTTCTTTCTTTTTTTTAAGGATGTGGCAGATGCCTTTATACAGAAATGCCTATCACAAATGAATGTTAATGCTTTGTGTGCTTGGTTGCCTGACTACAAGAACTGTATGTTTATCGGATTTCTGATTGGGGATTTTCCATAGAAACCTCTAATGACTGTTGTAAACGTATCACACAACTATTTCACCCTGGTTTTTATGGGGTCTACAGGTAAACAGTGAAGTCAACATTAACTATCAGTCCTAAAAGATCTGTTTCCATTTATCTTACTCCTTTCTCTTCGATTGTCTAAGTGGCCCCAATCAATCTTTCTTTCTTTCTTTCTTTCTTTCTTTCTTTCTTTCTTTCTTTCTTTCTTTCTTTCTTTCTTTCTCTCTCTCCCTTCCTTTCTCTCCCTTCCTTTCTCTTCCTTCCTTCCTTCCTTCCTTCCTTCCTATTTTTCTTTTTCTTTATTTTTTATTTTTTTAAAAAAAACATACACCATATTGTCTCTAATGGAAGTTTGGTAAAAACGAAACCAGTGTTATCTGAGAAAAAAAAAAGAAAAGAAAAAAGAAAGAGCAGTGAAACAAACATACTGGAGGGCACTTCAGATGTTCACTAAAAGCCTTAAAGCAGCATTGGTCTTTGTTCATCCCTGTATAAATTTTAGAACCAGGGGAGAATTTTTTTCTTTTTTTTTTTTTTAATATATAATTCAGCAGAAGAAGCAAATCAATGCCAGACTGTCTTTTTTTGTTTTGTTTTGTTTTGTTTTGTTTGTTTGTTTCTGTTTTGCTTCACTTTCTCACAGCCACGGGGTCGTTTGCCCGACAGTCCTGTAAAAGCTTGTCGATCTCCCGCACAACTTCCTCTGCATCTACGGACTCTCTCCCTAGTTCCCTGTTTGAACGGTCTATTTGCTCCAAGACAGAGTCCATATCAGCGGAGTCTCGGCTGACTCGGGAATGCACCTCGGCGAAGACCCTGGCCATCTGATCGGACGCCATGAAGGCAGCGTCTCTGGATTGTTTACTAGGTGACAGGTACTGGCTGTTGGGCTCAGCCAGGGCCCCTGTCTTGACTTCGCAGCCATCCAGAGGTCCTTTCGTTGAAGCGCAAGGCTCAATGCAGGTCTTGGTTGGGCTGCTGGATGCTGAGGGGACCTCCTGGAGAAGAGGGCTCAGGGCACGTTTGGCTTTGAGATAAGGTTTCACATTGGCAATGAGAATGGTGTGCTCTCGCTTGTCCTTCCCAAATGTACAAAAAGTCTTCTTCCCCGTGGGGTTCACAGTTTCGTAAGTCTCAGTCTCGACATTGGCTTCCACCGTGGGCACAAAGAGATTTGTTCGGTAGTCGGCATTGTCTGTTTGGTTGGAGGCAGGGAACTGGGGCATCCAACACCTGTCAGAATGACCAAGCACTCGGCATTCATCGGTGCAGTTAATGCACTCCTCTTGTTCTGCAAGACAAAGAAGAAACGACAAGGCTTTTTAAAATCATTCATCAGCTGCCTTGACATGTCCAGATCCTAGTCTGTTCATTTGATGTACAGGACTTCCTGGGTAAAAACAGAAATCACAATTAAAACTCTTGAGGAAGGTACCACAAATCAACAGGTTGAGGGGCTTCGTTTATTGGAGCTACTATCAATGCACAACAGTGGTTGTTTCACTCAGCGATTGTATCAGGGGTGGGTTCTACTTACCTTTACTACTGGCTCACAGTGGGGCCACTCACATGCTCTTCTGTGCAAGCGCAGAAGCTTCTACGCATGCGCAGAAGTGTTTTGATGACGTCGGGGTCAGTGGGCGGAGCCTCCCGCTGGTTTTACTACCGGTTCTATAGAACCGGTGCGAACTGGGGGCAACCCACCACTGGATTGTATCACTTCAATCAACGCTTGGTTTATTGGAGCTAGTATCGACACACAACAGGGGTTGTATCACTCAGTGGTTGTTTCACTTCAATGAACACTTGTATTATCAAAGCAAAACAGTGGTTCTATCACTCAGTGGATATATCACTCCAATAAATGTTTGGATTATTGGAGCTACTACCAAAGCACAACAGTGGTTGTATCACTGTACTAGGAGACCCTATATTCTAGAGCCATGATGGCGAACCAATGGCATGTGTGCCATATCGGTGGGCACGCGAGTTCAGCTCCGGTGTGCATGAGCACACTGGCCAGCTGATTTTCAGGCTTCTGGGCTCACCAGAAGTAGGGAAACAGGCTGTTTCCTGTCTCCAGAGGACCTCGGGGGGCGGTGGAGAAGGCCCATTTTTTTCTCTCCCCAGCCTCCAGAGCCTTTCTAGGAGTCTGGGGAGGGTGAAAATGGCCTTCCCCACCCTCCGGAGCACTCCAGAGGCCAGAAATGGCCTGTTTGCCAGAAGTTGGCAAATGGGCTGTTTTCAGCCTCCAGAGGGCCTTCGGGGGGGGGGAGGCCATTTCCACCCTCCCCAGACTCCTAGAAAGGCTCTGAAGGCTGGGGACAGCAAAAATCGAGATTCTGGTCCCACCAGAAGTTGGCAAATGGGCTGTTTTCAGCCTCCAGAGGGCCTTCAGGGAGTGGGGAAGGCCGTTTTCGCCCTCCACAGACTCTGAGAAAGGCTCTGGAGGCTGGGGAGAGCAAAAAATGGGCCTACCGTGCCATCACATGCCAGGAGTCTGGGGAGTGTGGGGGGATCACGCGTGCATGCATGAGGGCAAGCCACATAGAATTATGGGTGTGGGCTCACACACACGTGACACACACACACACGCACGCTCCTGGCATGCAATGGCAAAAAGGTTAGCCATCACTGCTCTAGAGTATAGGATCTCCTGGTACAGGGTCTCTACTCGAGCAGAGGGTTCGACTAGAAGATCTCCAAAGTCTCTTCCAACTCTTTCCTCCTATTTATTTATTTATTTATTAAATTTATATGCCGCCCCTCTCCAGAGACTCAGGGCGGCTCCGGAATTCTGGGAGTTGAAGTCCACAGGTCATAAAGGGGTCATATTTGCCCACCCCTGTTCTATATTAATAGAAGAGGGCTATTAGGGAACTAAAATCAGGGGGAAAAAAACCTGAACTTCACCTGCTTAAGAGATCTTTCAGCCTGTGATCAGAGAATATAATCTGAGAAAACAATGAAGGATAGCTAAGAGACTCCAAAGATTTATCTTTCCTCAGCAGATCCAATAACCAAACAGTGGCTTATTCTACAGAAATAAGAACATTTCACACAAATTAAGCAAGCTGAATTTCACCCAGAAGATCCCCGTTAAATTGCAATTGTTTTGCTGGATGACTGTCATCTAATAATAAGAGTTTACCAAATCCACACGCACGCCAGTTACTTTGTGCCGATAATAACACAGGAAAGGATTTTTCTGCCACTGTGCATTAAATGTGAGCTTGTCAAAAGAGGCATTATTGCTGTTTTCAGCAAAAGTATAGATTGTGTAACTAGCTTCTCTTCTCTTTGGGGATGGTGTAAAAAAAATGTGAAGATTGATTTGCACAATTCATACCATTAGGAAGAATGTCCTCTATTTTAGTTTTCTACAAACTTATTGTAATTGTATTGTATCCGTGCACTCTGCTTCTTTCTTCTCAAAATAATGGCAAGAATAGTTAAGGAAGTACGTCTCTTCAAAGATCATCATATTCATATAATGAATGGAACAGCTATTATTGTAAGTAGTTGCCTGTCTAAAGAAGGCAGGAAGCAGGGGTGGAAGAAGAGAGGAGAGGGGAAAGAGGAAAGGAAGTAGGAAAGGAAAGGAGAGGAGGAATGAGGAAAGAAGAAAGAAAGGAGGAGAAAGAAGGGAAGGGAAAGAGGAAAGGTTGTAGTAAAACAAAAGAAGAAAATGGTAAAAGAGCAGACCCGAACAATTAATTAATTAATTAATTAATTAATTGATTAATTAATTAATTGCCTAATGGAAGTTAAAGAAGAAGATGAATGAACAATGTATAAGGATGGATAAAAGACTGTACATTTAAACATGTTGATGAAAAATAAAAATAAAAAACTTTTTTCAAAAAAAAAAAAAAGAAGAAGGCAGGAACAACATTCTCTACATCAGTGTTTTTCAACCTTGATAGCTTGAAGATGGGTGGACTTCAACTCCCAGAATCCCCCAGCCAGAGCTGCTGGGGGATTCTGGGAGTTGAAGTCCACCCATCTTCAAGCTTCCAAGGTTGAGAAACACTGCTCTACATGATCAGTATAACAATCCCATCTTAGAAACTGGGTCAGCTCATTGCAGGAACGGTGAGCAGATGTTGACTTCAAAGGCAGGACTTTGATTACATCATAAGAATTAGTTGAAACATGATGGCAGAAGGTAGCTAAACCAAGATGGACTTGGATGATCTCCTCAAAAGCTATATCATGTTTAGAAGGCCACCAGAAAATCCCAGAGCTGTAGGTTAGGAAAATTAATCAGCATTGTAATCATCATCAGTGTCCAACCTTGACAACTTTATGACCTGTAGACTTCAACTCCCAGAATTCCTCATCCAACATGGCTAACTGAGGAATTCTGGGAGTTGAAGTCTACAAGTTATAAAGCCTGCCAAGAGGTTGAAGATGACTGATCTATACTGTTTTCTTGGAAACTACATTGATGTACGATCAAGTTACCATACTCTGAGCTTGATCCAAGGAATGCATGATCCCACTGTTTTCTACCCATAACTTAAGAAAGGAGTCTTCCTAGACTTCTTCTCTTAGCGACTGTCATCTACAGAATCCACAAAATAGGGCCTTCTCAGTGTGGAAGATCATTTCTCCGGGGGTTGGTTTAGCTTCATCTTCTTGAGTGTCAAAAAATCTTTCAGTGTGCCTTCAGGACTTAATATATTCTTTGGTTTCTCCCTGTAGGATATGTCAATTATTTGCTAATACTGCCTGGGGTATTTTAGATATCATTTTAATCCAACAGCTGGATTAATATATCATTTTAATCCAACAGCTGAATATATAGGTCTAAATATCTAAAACTAGCTAGTAACACCACCTTTTTTTTTTTGAGTAGTACTATAAAATTATATATCAATGGAAAGATAATTTAATCAAGAATGTAATGCAATCACTTTTATGAAGGATTTGCTATTAGAATAGCAGTTACAGTATAAAGAAGAAAAGTGAAAAAAAATAGGAAAAAATGAGATACTGTATACAAAAATGATCACCATAGAAAAAACAAGATATACAAAAATGATCACCATGTCGGTTAATACTTAGTTGGGTAACCTTTAGCATGAATGACAACCTTACAATGTCTTCCCATGGAGTGACCCAAGTCTTTTAGTTCTGCAGCTGTTCTAATGTGAAACCAAGATTGAATGGTTGCTTCTATTAACTGGGTTTTATTGCTGGGTCGCTTCTGACTAACAAGTTTCTTTAGTCGGCTCCATAGATTTTCAACTGAGTTAAGGTCTGGGCTATTCCCAGGCCATTCCAGCAGTGGAATAGGATTATCTTGAAACCCACCCGCCCCCCAAAAAGTGGTATTATTAGCCATAAAACCTCAAAAATACACTTTTCCCAAAAGGTTTCCACAATTTTGGTCACTACTGTCTGCCTGCCTGCCTCCCTGCCTCCCTGCCTGCCTGCCTGCCTGCCTGCCTGCCTGCCTATCTATCTATCTATCTATCTATCTATCTATCTATCTATCTATCATCTATCTATCTATCTATCTAAACATTGTTCCCCCTTCCAATAATTAGAGATTTAAGTACTAGTTCCATCTTACTCAATGCATTCGTAAAATATTGGCTTATCATTTCCTTTTGCACAAGCCTTTTCTGCTTCACTTTATACCATATAACCTGGGAACTGGATTTCCTTTAAAAAAATCAATAATGCACAACATGAAAAGACACTTCATTAAGCATTAGAATATGTGAATGTATTGGGGGGGGGAGGAGAGGAAAAAATGGCGGATTCAAAAGAGTCCAAATTCAATTAATGGAAGAGCTATTTATTTTCAATAGGAACCTTAAGCCCATATGTACTCAAGCCTACATTCCCTTCTAACAAATGGTTTTTCAAAGTGCTTGCAATATTGACTGTATCTTGTTCTCTCTCTAAATGTGCAGGATATTTACATTTTGCATTCTATTTATCCTGATATTTGTCTGTTGGTTTTTTTTAATTCAATCTTTCTGCTCGTAGGATGTCCATTTACTTTTTTGTGCTGAAACAGCCTTTTATGGATTTATAAAGGTATGAAATGCAGGGATAAACTGGGCTTTTTATTATCAAATGCCTATTGCGAATTTTTTTGTGCACAAGGGAGATTTTTTCTTGCTACATAATTGGGATCCTTTCCTTTCTTTCCCTTTCTCCTTCCCTCCCCTCCCCTTCCTTTCCTCCTTCTTTCCTTTCCTTTCCTTTCCTTTCCTTTCCTTTCCTTTTCTTCCTTTCCTTTCCTCCTTCTTTCCTTTCCTTTCCTTTCCTTCC